GGGGGGGGGGGGGGGGGGGGGGGGGGGGGGGGGGGGGGGGGGGGGGGGGGGATACGACACCTAATGCGTAGGTTGAAATGACGTTGTGACAATATGCATATCGCATACAAACCACCTTCGTCTTCGGTCGCTAAATGCTCCGCTGCAACCGCGACGCGCACAGACAACACAGGTCGTGTTGGGCCTCCATGTATCCATCGCGTGAGTAGAGTGCTAGAAACACCGTTGGGCAAATGATGGGGGGAGGAGACGGCGGCACTCGTCGTACAAGGAGCCGGTCGAAGAACCTTGTGGGCGGAGAGGAGTTGCGATAGAGACGACTGACTTGTACGGTTCACGCAATGTCTCGGTTCAGGGGGTGTCATATATGCCTGAGAACCCCGTCCTTCAGACCTGGCTGACTGTCGCTGAAGCAGCGTCTTACCGTTGCAGTAGTTAAAGTCGCAGCAGAACCTAGTTCTCTCGTACGCCTCCCCCTCGAACTCAAAATCCCAGCTGGACTCTAGGCAGGTCGCCTCGCACTTGCGGTATTCACATTTACCGGTCCTGTTGATGTTGCACGAGAGAATATGTAGCTGTGTAGTCAGACAACTAGCGGCAATGAATGCAGAGGGTCAAAACAACAAGCTGGCATGATTGTGAATGTGAAAGTTGTATCACTTTACAGAGTATTGGAGAGCATAGATAACAATTGGAGCAGCAGCACTTTTTGTTGTGACCTTGTCTAGGAGCAATTGTGGCTGTTTTCACGCTGATGAATGCAATCCTGTGACATCAAAGGTGGTATTATAATAGTGTCTTCTCAGACCAGTTCTTCCCATTGCTCGGCATCCTGATGACGACAAACAGCCACACTGCATAGCCGCAGCCACAGCCACAGCCACAGCCACAGCCACAAGGAAAGGAAAGGAAAGGACTTACCCGCGGGTCAACTTAAACATGCAACAGTGGCAGCAAACTATTACTCACTGATCATTCCACTTGTCCCCGAAGTAGGTTGTCCGGCCGCAGTCCTCTTCTGCCAAGTCCGATACCTCCTTGACGCAGTACCCGTTCCTTGAGAAACACAATATTCGCAAAAACCACGTGGAATGAGTGCAGCAAGAATCTAGGAACAGAGGTTAGGTAATGTATGATGTCTGCGAAAACCCTCACGGAATATTGTAAGTCTTGTGAGGCGTTGCACGCGATGGGCGTTCTAGGCTACTAAAACTGCTGTCACTCATACGCCGAAACCAGCCGCGTGGTTCGTTTTGAAAACAGATCTCCGATTTTCTCCATCCTTCGCGGTAGATCTCTATCTCTCTGCAAGATCGTCACCAAGATCGCACTAAGAATAGGAAGCGAAATAGATCCTCACGGTCGCACTGATGTAGCCCAGCTACTTGTCCTGCGTCCGGAAGCCACATAGACACACCTATGCTCCGGGCAGATTAACAGTCCTTCTGGTTCCTTCAGGGAGGCCAGGCACCGGAGCGCATCCTGGGGGTATCTCGCGTTGACTTCGGGTAGGAGGGCGACCGCCGCCACCATCGAGATGAACGCGGCCACAGCACCCCTCCCTTTGACCGACCTTCCGACCCCTTGGGACCATGCGTAGCGCCGAAGCGTGATGTTTCGAGCCATGGATCGCCAGCTTGGGCGTTATGTGTAGGCTACTGAGGAGTAACATAAGCTCGCGGTACAAGTAGAGCAACTCAAGCTCGCGGTACAAGCAGCAGTCAGCTCGTACAAGTGTCTTGCTGGTTCTCGCTCGTCGCCTCGACCGTTTCGCGAACCAAAGTCGAAGGCATTTTGGTTCAGTTCGCTCTGCCACCGCTGTGCCTGCTCCTTTGCTCCTTACTGCCTGAAGACTGGAGACGCACGGGCGCCCTGCTCAGAGCGAGAGACAGAGAGAGAGGAGCGGGTGTTGTGTGCCATGGCGGATGACTGGGATGATTGGGGGGATGATGACGGCGAGGTGGCAGTAGCAGACGGCGGGGACAACAGCAACAGCAGTGACAAGTCGGAAGGATGGGACTGGCCTGTTGCTGCAACAACGAAACCTCCCTCTCCTGCAATCGCAATACAGCAGTCTAGCCAGGATGAGAACGCTGCTGTCGAGCGCGAGGCGAGGGAAGCAGTGGTGGCAGAGATGACGGAAAAGTTCTTTGTTGAGCTTCGCAGTTACCTGGAGAACCTCGCAGATCCATCCGTGCGAGAGGAAATCAACCAGGTTCGACGACGTACATTCCGCACTGCTGTTGCACTGCTGCTGTTATGTAGCTGCGGGAGGTTGCAGGAACTCTCTCCTTCAGTGCGATAGCAACGAGTTCAGCGTGTGTATGCTGACATTTCCGGGCTTGGACTGATGCTGTTGTTGGAAGAACATAGTGGCCACACAACGAGCAAGTTATCGGAGGTGGCGAGAGTGCACATATCCTCCTTGGATGTTTTACATGCCGCCGGCTCCCGTTGTTTTGCTCGAGGTACAGAACGGGCCCGGAGATAAGAAACGTCAAAATCGCGTCGAGCCTCAATTTCGCCAAGTGTTTTGGACTGAAGGACCAGCCGAAGTCGGCCCAGTTTCTTGTAACAGAGTTATTATTCATTTTTTTGTAGGGCTGTCGCATCCTGCTGATTCTCTTGGTTTCTTTTTTACTATTTCGAGCGAAGAAAACAACCCACCAGTACAGCAGTGGCTGGTGGGTATTGCGCAGCCCGCGGCGGCGCTGGGGCGCGGGGGGCGCGGCGAAAATAACCTCCCCCCTCCGCTTCCAACAAATAATACATGAGATAGATAAGGGGTGGGAGCATGGCAGCAGCAGCAGCATCATTGGGACGTTTCTTATTTTACACGCTCCCCCAGAAATGAAAGTTTTTTTTTTTTTTTCTTTGGCGGTAACCATAATGGTGGCCGAGTAGATCATGTTGTGCGGGGTGGAGAACCCTCGCTCCGCGCAAGGGGGATGATCGCACCACGTTGTGTTAAAATGGTCAAGCACCCTCGAGGCAGTTACACAGTGCTTACA